AATACGTAACATGACATGGTGGTGTCAGCCAAACCGAATACGTAACATGACATGGTGGTGTCAGCCAAACCGAATACGTAACATGACATGGTGGTGTCAGCCAAACCGAATACGTAACAAGACATGGTGGTGCACGAGAGATGGGCTCCAAGTTAGACTATCTTAGTATTCTTAGTGAGATTGCCTAGTCCCAAGACAAACAGCCTCCTCACCCCCTTTCTCCTCTCCTCCTTCCCCCATCCCTCTCCTCATACCAATCTAATGTTCGCTGTTGTCGGCCTGATGTATCTACCTCTCTCTCTCTCTCTCTCTCTCTCTCTCTCTCTCCTCACCAGTCTGATGCTCGCTGGTGTCGGCCTGATGTATCTCGTCGTCAAACCACAAGTGTGCCACGGTCATGCGGTTCTGTGTGAGGGTGCCCGTCTTGTCCGAGCAGATGGTGGAGGTCGAGCCCAGGGTCTCCACGGCCTCCAGGTTCTTCACCAGACAGTTCTTCTTGGCCATGCGTTTGGCTGTCAGGGTGAGGCATACCTGGGGCGGAGATAAGATAAGACAAGACAAGACAAGATAAGATAAGATAAGACAAAATATGATAATACCGTATTATCTCAGAAGGAAATTTTTCTTGGCTGTACAGGACCGTACAAACACACACAGGTATACATCTAGATCTACATTTTAAAAAATTAAATTACGTATTACTCTCATTAAAATTCATTATGAAAAGAGAAGTAAAGCTGACAAAATATACATGTCACGTCAGATGTATCATTCAACCACATGCAGGAATTAAATACACGACCCTTGGAGTTATATAGATACATACTCTAAAGAGCAACACACATCTATGCCCATTCTTTAAAAAACCCTTATGCTAGATGGTAAAAAACTTCTTTTATATCTTTCTTTTTTTTTTTTTGGAGGTACACATCTACCTCTGCGTGAAAGGGGGTGTGATGGGTCGTTTATAATGCTTTTTAAAAATCTTTTTTATACTTGTGGTGTTGTACAGTTCATCAATTCTAGTAAAATCATATCCAGAGATCTTGCTGGCTTTCTTAATGGTTCTGTCAAATGTTTCTATATCTTTCACATTACAATTCCCACCCCAGCAGCAGGGAGGCTAAGAAAAGAGTGTGTATCTGTGTGTATGTATGAGCGTCTATGTGTGTGTATCTGTGTGTGTGTTTGTACGTTCATGTGTGTGTATCTGTGTGTGTGTGTGTATCTGTGTGTGTGTGTGTGTGTGTGTGTGAGAGAGAGA